TTCGAGTCGAGGAAGAAGGTGTGCGGCGCAGCGTTCTGGCCGTTCGGGGCCGGTTGAGAAGGTTGCGAGGAGGTCCCCGCGTCGCCATTCAGCAATGTTTGGAGCCCTTGCTCCAAGCTTGTGAGTTGCTGAAGTAGTTGTGCGAGAACGTCGGTCCCGATCGTCGTCGATTCCTCGCTTGTCGCAGCTGGGTTGGGTTGCGCTTCAGCCGTCAGATTTGTTTGACCACCAGATCCTCTGGCCTTTCTCACACGCGATCGTGTGTCGGACGCCACTTTCCGAATGTCAAAGATTTAAGAGGTGGCAGTGCGAAGGATTCCCAAGTCGCTCTCATACCATGCTGCGATCGAAAGGTGATCGACCCTAGGATGTCCTCTGGAAGGTTCGCACACATGCAAATACAACAAATATAAATAGTAGTACAAGGGAATTTGAATCGACCTAACTAGCCATGTACTCTAAGGGGTACATTCCCTTATTCAAATTCATTCCCAACCGTGCGGTGCGTGCAGTTACGAAACTGTTCCCGCCAAATTCCTCTTGCCTGCAGCTGCCCGATGCCGTCTGCTCCGACGGTCCAGAACCATTCTAACCGTCTGAGTCGCTTCGAGTCAACTCTGACTCCTCGCACTCATTCTCGATATTGCGTGCTTCCCTTAGCTGCGGTTAGGAGTGGACAGTAGTATTTCACTATTCGTAACATTTATCACGAAAAAAACGACCAAGGGGCTGCATGCATGGGCTGAGAATTCTACGACGGACCGCAAACGACAGATCTGATAGCCACGAGCTCGGGGTAACTGGTTGATGATGACAGAATAAAGACATGCAGCAGAAGAAACAATGAATGAGATGAGTGGGCTGCATGGTATGATGGTGTGCACCATTGACATAATATAGTGCAGTGCAAGTGAGGAATGATTCGTGTACGACAAAATGCAGACTGCAAATTGTATGTCATTGGCAACTCACGTTTTTGCTGTCCACCACCGATCAAATACTCCAGTCCAACCGACCTTGCCGCAGTCATCCACATTAGAAAATGTTTAGATAGTATTTACAACCAACAACACCACCAATACCCCTCGTTGCGTAGATAGTTTTGAAGTTCCCAACCACCTCCTTTGGGAAATTAGTGCAGCCTTGATTCAACCAAAAAGCGTAGGGCTTGGATGCCCTTCCCTTGGCATTACGGTCCTGGATGAGTGTAATACTAACGGTAGATAGTTCATTAGGTGAACCTGAGAATGGATGGCACAAGCAGCACGGGAAATGTGGAGCAAGTATTGGAGCAAACAAGAAAGAATGGCCATGTCATGATACTGTCCATTGGGATAGGAAAGGACGGATTAGGCAAAAAGCTGACACACATATGAGTTGGCCTCTTTTGAAGAAATTAGTCGTTTGCAGCATCGGGTCACGGCTACAAGTTGATTTTGAGTTGACTCAACATCAAACTCAAAAGCTAAATCGTTTGCAGCATGGGGTCACAGCTTCAGGTTGAGAGGCTCTCAGCTTCATGATCCGTCATGCACCTCTCAGCTTCAGTATCCGTCACCGTAGTACACCATCTCCTCAGCCCTCATGAAACACAAAGGTGGGGGAATGCACCTTGTGATAGAAGGGTGGGAAGCAGATGGGGCGATATTAAAACTTAACCTTCTTGCATCCTGCCTTTGTCATCCCAAAGCCCGGGGGGCACTGGCAGTATGGCACCTCCGCCTCTTCCCAGATATTTGTATAGACGGTGTTGCAGGTGGCTAAAGAGAGGCATGTACCACAGGGTGATTCTGAGCAACACAGCAAGCAGAGGGGCATACAGGGCATGGCAAAGAGATGGTGAGCTGAGCACAGACTATGGGCCAGCTGTGTAGAGAAATGATGACTGGAGCCAGCTATGTAGAGAAATGATGACTGGAGCCAGCTGTGTAGAGAAATGATGACTGGAGCCAGCTGTGTAGAGAAATGATGACTGGAGCCAGCTGTGTAGAGAAATGATGACTGGAGCCAGCTGTGTAGAGAAATGATGACTGGAGCCAGCTGTGTAGAGAAATGATGACTGGAGCCAGCTATGTAGAGAAATGATGACTGGAGCCAGCTGTGTAGAGAAATGATGACTAGAGCCAGCTGTGTAGAGAAATGATGACTGGAGCCAGCTGTGTAGAGAAATGATGACTGGAGCCAGCAACAAAGAGGGCAGTTGCAACAAAAAGTAGAGCTAGAGGAGAATGAGTGCAGATGGGTGGGGTTGGGTGGGTGTAGAGACCATCGCAAGAGTGAACGCCATCGGTGTTGATCACGCAAACCCCATCCGGTTCACAAACCAATTCGGCGCAAGCAATGTCTGATGTGAGTGCATGGGAGGATAAGATAGAAGAAGGGGAAAAGGAAATAAGGACATAAATCGCCTTAAAGGTCGAATGCACGCAATCTGTTTCTGAGTCGACTGAAAAAACAGGTTTTGAGTCAAGAACAACTTGAGTCAAAAACAGGATTGGAGTCAAAATCAGGTTTTGAGTCAACTCAAAAAAAGGCCCCAGAGTCGGATGCGCACAATCTGCAAGAAATTTGAGTTGAGGGGAGTCCAAGTTTTTAGGCCTGGTTTTGAGGCGCCTCAAAACTAGAACTAGCAAGGAATTTGTGTTGAGGAGAGGCCAAGATTTGAGGAATGTGTTTGAAACTCAAGGCACACGTTTCGTGTTGATCCAACTCACCAATGCAAGAGAGCGAGTCATTTGATGGCTTAAAGCCCGTGTTGCAACTACAAAATGGATTCCTGTTCGCATCCCTCGTGCAGTTTCCACCAGGCCCACAATTCACCACATCACACAAGTCTGCAAGGAAAAGGGACTCAGGAAAGAGGAAAGAAACATCACCTCAAGAAACTGGAATGTTGGGACATTGCCAATCAAGGTCACGGTGTTGAATATGCAAAGCAAATCGTGCAAAGAGAGTTGAAGAAAGGCCCAAGTTCAAAAAGATTGGGTTCGGAACGCAAGGCACGCTATGTGTTGCTCTCCTCCAACTTACCAACGCAAGAGCGCGAGTCATTTGACGGCTTAAAGCCCGTGTTGCAATTGCAAAAAGGATTCCCGCTCACATCCTTCGTGCAGTTTCCGCCAGGCCCACAATTCACCGTGTTACACAAGTCTGCAAAAAATAGAGACCCAGGCAAGAGGAAGGAAAGTTTCACCTCAGGAAAAAATGTTGAGATATTGACAATCAAGGGTCAGGGAGTTGAATATGCACGCACATCAGCAGCTCGTGCAAAGAGAATGGAAGAGAGACAAGGTTGTAAGCACTGGGTTTGGAATGCAAGGCATGCGTTTTGTCTTGCTCTCCTCCAACTCACCAATGCAAGAGAGCGAATCATTTGACGGCTTAAAGCCCGTATTGCAACTACAGGATGGATTCCCATTCGCATCCCTCGTGCAGTTGCCACCAGGCCCACACTTCACCGAAGCACAGTTATCTGTAGAAAATGGGGCGCAAGCAAATGGAAGAAAATGATCACATTATGAGATAAGAACGCTAAGATATCAACAATCAAGGGTCATGGAGCTGAATATGCACGCACATTAATAGCTCGTGCAAAGAGACTTGAAGGGAGGCCAAATGTAAAAACTTGGGTTTGGAGCTCAAAGCACACGCCCTGTGTTGCTCTCCTCGAACTCACCAATGCAAGAGAGCCCATCAACAGATGCCTTAAAGCCCGTGTTGCAACTACAAGATGGATTTCCGACCGCATCCCTCGTGCAGTTGCCGCCAGGCCCACAATTCACCGCACCACAATTGTCTGCGGAAAACAAAACCCACACAAGTGGAAGAAAATTATCACATAAAAAAAAACAATAATTATCGGACCTTAACAATCAAGGGTAACAAAGTCGGATATGCACGAGTTTGTCTACTTGCGCTAGAGATTTGAGTTCAGGGGAGATGAGGGGAGGCTGAACTTTGTGTTTTCGAAGGCACGCGCACTGTGTTGCTTTCTTTCTACTCACCAATGCAAGAGAGCGCATCAGAAGATAGTTTAAAACCCGCGTCGCAACTACAGAATGGATTCCCATTGGCATCTTTTGTACAGTTGCCACCAGGCCCACAATTCACCGCAGCACAGTTGTCTGCGAAAAAAGGGAACCAAGCAAGTAGAAGGAAACAAGAATATTGGGAATGTTGGCACTCAAGGGTCATGGAGTTGACTATGCACGCACTTCAGTCATTATTGCAAATAGAGTCTATGGAAGGCTAAGTTTTAAGGATTAGGTTTGAAATGCAATAAACGCGCTCTGTTTTGAACGTCCCAACTCACCAATGCAAGAGAGCGAGTCATTTGACGGCTTAAAGCCCGTGTTGCAACTACACGATGGCTTCCCATTCGCATCCTTCGTGCAATTGCCGCCAGATCCACAATTCACCGCATCACACAAGTCTGCAAGGCAAAAGGATCCAGAATGTTAGTGAAGGTTTGGCAACCAAGGGTGTATAATAAATGGATCATATTACTGGATTGGACACAAGTCTATGCAGCGTACGAAACATGGGTCGAATTGTAAACATAGAGAAGGGCAATCAGTACTGGACTCTCACTCCCCTGATTAAACATAGGTATGCTATCAGAAGTCTTACCAAGGCCAGTGCCATCAACGGCAGGATTAGGAGCAGCGTGGCAAGTGCCATTGATTGCAGCAAAGCCTGGGTTGCATGGGCAGGTGACGGCCTTGCTGTCACTTGTTGGCATGCACGTGGAGTTGGCGGGACGCGTGGTGTGCTGGCAGGTGATTTCTGGCAGCATGGGATGAGAAGAGAGGCGTGTGGGTAGCACAGAGACACGTGGCGTGAGATGTGTGCAGCGAGGCAGGTAAGACCAGCACGGGGGTAAGACCACATGCAGCGAGGAGGTTCAGGCAATGTGTGGTGTGCTGGCAGGTGATTTGTGCGAGCATGGGGTAAGAGAGACACGTGGGCAGCACGGAGATACGGCATGGCTGGCGAAACCATCAGCCAGAGAAAAACTCCTTCCCATGGAAGGAATGAGATGTGTGCTGCAGGGAGGCAAGGAGGCAATGAGGCAAGGCGGCAAGGAGGAAAGGAGGCAGAGAGGCAAGAAGACGAGGAGGCAAGGGACGCACCACACTTGCAGGAAACGGAAGCCCATCGGGAAATCTTCTTTGCGCTGCACGCATGGACGGCAGAAACACGTTTAAATGAGACAGTTGTGTTAGCACGGCACAACCCGAGTTTACTCAGAAGGAAACGGAAGCCCATCGGGAGCTGCAAACAGGGACTTCAGAAACACATCGGATTAGAAGGCACGAACGCATTCAAATGTTATGTTTGGAACTCGCTCAACTGCTCCCAGAACCCACCTGGGAACATGGAAAAACTTGCGCAGGCCGGCAGACTGCAGCTGCAGCACCTCATCCAGCGCCTTGCCCTTGCAGGCCGGGTTCGCGAAGAACTTAAGTTGCTTGCACGCCGCACCCCCACCGTTGCCGCTCCTGCTGCCGCCCGTGCCGCCGCCCGTGAGCCCGTGCCACCACACCTGCACGTCACCCGCCGCCTTGCGCGCCGCCTGGGGAAGGCTGAAGCAGCGGAGGGCGTCGAAGCTGACGGGGACGCTCACGCCCGGCACCGCGATCACCGTTGCCACGTGCACCCGAGCCTCCACTGCGCCGCCTGTGCTGCTGCCATCCCCCACCCCCACCCCCACCCCTATGCTCGCATTCCCGATTCCCGAAGTAATTCCGCTTTTGAGGGTTCTGGCCGAGGCAGTCGCAGCCTCGCTAGCACCTGCCTCCATGTGAGCCGAGGCGATTGCTGGAAGAAGCAGAGGGGTGAGACGGGGGAGGGGAGACGGGTGAGACGGGTGAGAGAAAGCAGTAATTTCGCTTTTTGAGGCTTCTGGCCGCCGCAGCCGCATCCTCGCTTGCTGCCGTGTGAGCCCAGCCTCACTCCGAGCCCAGCCTCACTCCGAGCCCAGCCTCACTCCGAGCCCAGCCTCAACTCCGAGCCCAGCCTCACTCCGAGCCCAGCCTCACTCCGAGCCCAGCCTCACTCCGAGCCCAGCCTCACTCCGAGCCCAGCCTCACTCCGAGCCCAGCCTCACTCCGAGCCCAGCCTCACTCCGAGCCCAGCCTCACTCCGAGCCCAGCCTCACTCCGAGCCCAGCCTCACTCCGAGCCCAGCCTCACTCCGAGCCCAGCCTCACTCCGAGCCCAGCCTCACTCCGAGCCCAGCCTCACTCCGAGCCCAGCCTCACTCCGAGCCCAGCCTCACTCCGAGCCCAGCCTCACTCCGAGCCCAGCCTCACTCCGAGCCCAGCCTCACTCCGAGCCCAGCCTCACTCCGAGCCCAGCCTCACTCCGAGCCCAGCCTCACTCCGAGCCCAGCCTCACTCCGAGCCCAGCCTCACTCCGAGCCCAGCCTCACTCCGAGCCCAGCCTCACTCCGAGCCCAGCCTCACTCCGAGCCCAGCCTCACTCCGAGCCCAGCCTCACTCCGAGCCCAGCCTCACTCCGAGCCCAGCCTCACTCCGAGCCCAGCCTCACTCCGAGCCCAGCCTCACTCCGAGCCCAGCCTCACTCCGAGCCCAGCCTCACTCCGAGCCCAGCCTCACTCCGAGCCCAGCCTCACTCCGAGCCCAGCCTCACTCCGAGCCCAGCCTCACTCCGAGCCCAGCCTCACTCCGAGCCCAGCCTCACTCCGAGCCCAGCCTCACTCCGAGCCCAGCCTCACTCCGAGCCCAGCCTCACTCCGAGCCCAGCCTCACTCCGAGCCCAGCCTCACTCCGAGCCCAGCCTCACTCCGAGCCCAGCCTCACTCCGAGCCCAGCCTCACTCCGAGCCCAGCCTCACTCCGAGCCCAGCCTCACTCCGAGCCCAGCCTCACTCCGAGCCCAGCCTCACTCCGAGGCCCAGCCTCACTCCGAGCCCAGCCTCACTCCGAGCCCAGCCTCACTCCGAGCCCAGCCTCACTCCGAGCCCAGCCTCACTCCGAGCCCAGCCTCACTCCGAGCCCAGCCTCACTCCGAGCCCAGCCTCACTCCGAGCCCAGCCTCACTCCGAGCCCAGCCTCACTCCGAGCCCAGCCTCACTCCGAGCCCAGCCTCACTCCGAGCCCAGCCTCACTCCGAGCCCAGCCTCATCATCGAGTCGCACGCGCGCGTTTCGATGATCCGCACGCTCGCCTGCTGCCATGTGAGCCGTGGCGACCGCTGAAGGGGGAGGAGGTAGAGCGGTGAGAGGGAAAAGAGGGAGCAGAGGTGGTGAGAGGGAGCAGAGGTGGTGAGAGGGAGCAGAGGAGTGAGAGGGAGCAGAGGGGTGAGAGGGAGCAGAGGAGTGAGAGGGAGCAGAGGGGTGAGAGGGAGCTATGATGCGAAAGACGCGTCCTGCGTCCTGGACGCATGCGTCCAGACGCATGCGTCCGGACGCAGGACGCTTCACCAGGACCAGAAAGACGCACCAAAAGACGCAGTCCCGGGCAGGCAAAAAAAACCCCCGGGCAGGCAAAAAAACTTGTTATAGGGCATGGGATGAGGGGGGGGGGGGGGGGGGGGGGGGGGGGGAACGTTCCACACTTTCAAGGCAAACTTGGCCCCAACATCAAATTTTCCCCCAAATCTCAAGATTAAGGTGAGTCACGTATTGTCACACACATGTCCCAAGGTCACATGCACAGTTTATCGTATCACTGAAGAACACACATACTATTAAACTACCACCACAGCACTGCATGCAAGCAACCAGTCACTCATCCCCGTCCTCCTCGCTATCCTTCTCATCCTGGTCCTTGTACTCATCGACCATCATGTCGTCCTCGTCCACCTCCCTCTCCCCATCCTCCTCCAACATGTACCCCTCGGGGAGGGGAGGGGTGGGAATGTTCCCCTCCACTACCCCCGCCTTCCTCACTTCCCCACTTGGCCCTGCAACAACTGCACCCTCGTGGTGGCCGAGCACAGCCTTCCAGTTGTGCGCCACGAACACCAGGTCGCGCACCTTCTCCGACCCCAACCTGTTATTGCGCGCCGTGTGCACCCCATCCCACGTAGCCCATCCCCGCTCGCACGGAGAAGCGGAAACGGCCTGTGACACCGCACGGATTGCAAGGCCTGTCAGATCGGCATACTCCGAGCCATTCATCTTCCACCACGTCGCCATGTCCCCCTTCCCTGCCTTCAGCTGCGCACGCCCCTCTATCCACCTTTGCCCACCACTCCACATCCAACACCGACGCCTCAAAGTCTTTCCCAGTCAGCTGCTTCCTCCCCTTCTCCTCCCAATTCTTGTGCGTCACCATCGCCGTCAGCTGAGGGCGAATCTCACGCAGACGAGACACCGCTATGTACTGCGTCCCAAAGCGCGTGCCCGCCGGTCGCAGCGGCTGAAGCGACTTCTCCTCCCCGTGCAGCTCGGGACAGCGCAGGAAGGCACGCGTCCACGTGTGGCTGCGAATGAACGAAATCATGTCGGTCGCCGCAGGCACGACCTCCTGCGCCCAAGCCATGCTGCCGAAGTCCTCCAACAGCAGATCGAGCACATGAGTGGCGCAGGGAACGAACTCAATGTGCGGGTACTTCTTCTGCAACAGCTTGGCAGCGGACACATAGTTGCTGCCGCCGTCCGTGCAAATCGCGACGACGTGCTCCGGTCCAACCTTCTCGATGACCGGCTGCAGGACGCTCACGATAAACTCCCCGCTTTTAGTCTCCGCCTTGCAGTCGACCGCCTCCTGGAAAACCGCTCCACTGGCGTTGATGCAGAGGATGTTCATCTGCGCACGCCCGCTCTTGTCCCTCATCATATCGCTTGCGATCGTCATGCCAGTCTCCTTCCACGTCTTCGTAATGGGCGTCAACGCCTTCTCAATCTGCTGCTTGCACGCCAGCAGCCCGGCGCCTCCAACGTAACCACGCTTGGGGGGGACATAGCCGGTTCCGGCGGCGTTCACGGCGCGCAGCATGTTGAGGAAGAGGAGGTGCTGGCATATAGTCTCCCCCAAGCGCGTCCCCGTGATGAAGAGGCAAATCGAATCGTCGGCAGCACGCTTCGCCGCCTCCCCCCCCTCGCCATACCAATCCTCCATCCGCCCCTTCTTTGCCTTCGGTTCCGCTCCGCCATGGCCGCTCACCGCAGTAAGCGCCGCCTCGAAAGCCCTCTCCTTATCCTTGCGCGCCGTAATCTTTGTCTCCTTCCCGCCGCGAATGGCGTCTGAAATGCTCTTAGGAACCTTCGCGCAAACAACACCGCCATCGCGCCGCACGTTCGCGTCGTTCCATTCGGCGAGATGCTGAGTGCACTGGCTACTACTGAAGGCGAACGATTTCTCGCACCAAAGGCACTTGCACTGCAATCCCTTTTTCGTCGGATCCTCGAATGTCCAAAAATGCCTATAAATATGGTGATTGGGCTTTTGCGGTTTCTTCTCCACCCCATCACTAGTGAAACGCTGCAGGGGAGACTCGTCCTCGGCATGAACATCCCTAGATGCGTTAGATGACGTAGGGTTGCTTGAGGAAGCCATAATGGAGCTAAGCTATGCTTGTAGGCTAAAACCTCTAGGGTTTTCGAAAGAGAATTGGTTGGGTGGGTGAAATGAGAAATGACTTGGTTGGATTGCTAAATGGGCTTGGTGGTAGGCACCTTGGTTGGGTTTTCTAGATGTGAAGTGGTTGAGAGGTATTTGGAATTCAATTGTTGCATGGGGGCTTATGAAATGTTGGGGGGGGGGCTGTTTTTCAATGTCGAATTGGGCAATGGGGGGTCAAAATTTCGCGATTTCGACACTCGCGTCGAAATCGCGAGATTGAAATTCGTAATCTCGAAAAAAAAAAAATCCGGGACAGCCCGAAAAAATTTCGATCTGCGTCCTGCGTCTGGACGCGCGTCTTGCGTCCTAGCGTCCAGACGCTGCGTCCAGACGCAGGACGCAGTGTCCTCTGAGCGTCTTTCGCATCATAGAGAGGGAGCAGAGGAGTGAGAGGGAGCAGAGGGGTGAGAGGGAGCAGAGGAGTGAGAGGGAGCAGAGGGGTGAGAGGGAGCAGAGGAGTGAGAGGGAGCAGAGGGGTGAGAGGGAGCAGAGGAGTGAGAGGGAGCAGAGGGGTGAGAGGGAGCAGAGGGGTGAGAGGGAGCAGAGGAGTGAGAGGGAGCAGAGGAGTGAGAGGGAGCAGAGGGGTGAGAGGGAGCAGAGGAGTGAGAGGGAGCAGAGGGGTGAGAGGGAGCAGAGGAGTGAGAGGGAGCAGAGGGGTGAGAGGAAGGTGCAAGAATGGCGTGCTTCTCAAACGTAGTTGTAACGACTGTTGAAGCACCTTAAAGGTATCCTCACTCACCTGCTGGCTTTCACGAAGGGTCGAAAGGCATGTGCTGCGCTGCGCCTGTCAAGAACCCCCGATTTTTAACCCCACAGTCTAGCGGGGAGCTGTATCAGACCTTGTGAAATCAAACACACAGAACGAAGAACTCCTTGGGAACGACAAGGAGAGAGAAGCGACTCACCGCAGATGATGGCGAGGACGAGAAGCGGAAGCAGCGCGGCAGGGTAGGCGGCCATGGCGGTCAAGCTGCCACGTCAGGTGAGGTCAAACTGCCACGTCAGACGACTCCAATACGTCAGGTGGGGTAACGCTTGTGCAGCGCGCCGCTGCCACGTCAGGCGAGTCACGCGCAAAGAGAGTGGCACAATGTCAGGAAAGAAACTTTCTTGAAAGCTCTGAAGTTGATGGCAAAACGCGGCGTTGCAAAGGTACAGCTCGATGCTCTATGCTCGATGCTGCCAGTGGTACAGCTGATACAAACGGGTGCTATAGCTTGTGGTATAGCTGGAGGTGAAGGAGTTGTATACTAGTAGTTGCTGGCGTTGCCACAGATTTTGAGGATAGGATGCTTCCATGGCTGCTCTCGCGGGTGGTTTATACACAAAGTTCGGCTCCCCAACCGTCCGGGGCGGAACATCTGCGCGGAACATCTGCGCGTTCCGCGAGCAGTTCCGCCGACGCTTCCCCATTCGGCTGATAGTCCAGTACGAGGCGCTAGGAACGCGATCGGGTGGCGGGAATATGGAGTTATTGATGCATTCGTGGGTTGCGAGCTGAAAAGCGAGTTTAGCTTCGAATCGCAACCCTGTGGCGTGCTGCATTGCGAAGGCCCACGCAGGCCGGAAACAGGGCGACCGGCTCAGCAGTCGCAGAGCTAAACTCGCTCTGGCTGGTGAATGACGGTGGGAGGTTGAACGAAGCAACAGGGTTGGAGCATGTTTGAATACAGATGTTCTGGCTTAGAGGCCCTTCCTAAAAGAGAGTCCCATTTCCTAGGCGTATCCCCTCCTCTACGGTCCCGTTTTTGGCGGGAAATCTTGCATCTTGACTGAATCATTGCATGAATCAGTTCCGCAGCCAATCAGAGGACGCAAATCGAACCTGTCAGAACATTTAGAGGAAATAAAACGAAAGGAAGTTTTGATTCGCTATTTACTTTTTGCAGTTGTGTTTGTCTGTTTATCTTGACCGCTCTTGTGTCGAAATCCTGTTGCGCGGTTCCCCGCGAGCTCCGACGATGCCATCTCATTAATCTCGCTTACAGTGTAAAACAAAAATGTTGTCTTTCATTTCGGCCTTAAAAATATTTTGTTTTTGTATTTTTCTGCCTGTTTGTCCTGCGACACTGATCAACGCGGCGAACAGTGCGACGAGAAGTTGAAGACAGCGTAGTCCGAATGTACGTATGTGACAGAAAAACATGAATAGTAGCGAAGGAAAATCTCTCTTCATGCAATTATTCTTATATGGGACTATAAGTTCCCTTTTGCCCGGGGTTTGTGAGTTTTCCACAAAGGCCCGCAGCGCGCGTGTTTTTCACGTAGAATCTAATTGAGAACATCTGTAATGTGCAGGTGTTACGAGTGCAATTGAGTGAACGAACGAGAATTGCACTATCGAAACAAAAATACAATTGAGCGAAGGCATGAGCGAACATTATATAGCGAAACTACAGTGGTAACGGTAATGGTCGCGCGACGAGCCTGGGACTGAGGTTGGGAAAGTGTCGAAGCGTAGGCCCGGAGCGCGGGTTACCAGCCGAGCCGTGAGGTCGGGATGCGATGTGCGAAAAGGGCGGGATGATGAATGATGCGATGGTCGCGAGTGGTAACGGTGCTGACTGAGGTGCTACAGTGATGTACGCGTTGAGCAGGGACGCGAAGTAAGGAAAAGGGAATTTCCTTACACTACCCCCCCTCCTAAGGAGGTCCGTCTTATGAAAGCGCGTGGATGTCTCGGAAATTGCGGCTACGCAGGTAGTCTCTGACGACGGGGTGATTTTCAACTTTCTCCAGGGGAACCCAATTGTCCTCGGTGGGGGTACGATCTTTCCAGCGGATCAGAAACTCCACTTTTCGGGCTCCTCGAGGGTCGCGAACTCTGTGGCTCAGGATCTTGTCGGGGGTGATGACTGGTTCGGTTGGTGGTCGTGTCATGCTGGTGGGTCGATGTCGTGGGAGTTGGCTAGTGGATGGCACGTAAGGGCGAAGTAGGCTGACGTGGAACGAGGGGCTGACGTACTAGTCAGCAGGGAAGAGGAGGTGCGCGGTGACTGGCGTAACCATGTGACTGATTCGAAATGGCCCACAGTATCGAGGGCGGAGTTTTGGAGTGATGGGCAGGCGGAGGTTCTGAGTGTCGAGTAAAACGAGGTCGTCGGGCTGATAAGTGACGGGTCTGCGATGGCGATCGGCGTTGCGTTTAGCGATGATGTTTGATTTTTTTATTGCTTCTGCTGCCCTGGTCCGTGCTGCTTGCAGAATCTCGGCGAACTGTTGTGCTCGTGGGACGGGGTTGTCGGGATTCGGTGTCATGGGTACTGTTGGGTCATGTCCGTAATTCAAGTAAAACGGCGACTGTTGCGTCGTGGCCAATGGCGCGTTATTGTATGCGAACTCGATGAGTGGCAGCTGCTGTTCCCACGTATTCGGATCGTCGCACGTGGCTCGAATCAGCTGCTCCATGGTCTGATTTGTCCGTTCCGTCTGTCCGTCGGTTTCGGGGTGATAGGATGAACTGAACTGTAAGCGCGTGCCGAACTGCTGCCACAGGTTCCGCCAGAAGTTGCTGGTAAATTTCGTGTCCCTGTCGCTGATGATCGACGCGGGTATCCCGTGCAGTCGTACGACGGTGGAGATGAAGAGTCGGGCGGTTTCTTCGGCTGTGATGGATTTCCTGCATGCTGCGAAATGAGTCATTTTCGTTAGTCGATCGACGACGACCAGGATCGCGTCATTCCCACTCGCCCCAGCTGGTAACCCCGTGACGAAGTCCATCGTCACCTGCTGCCAAGCACGCTCTGGAGGCGGGATGGGTTGTAATTGCCCCGCTGGTCGCTTCCTGCTTGACTTCATGAGCTGGCAAGTGGGACACGATGCCACGTGTCGTTGCACATCGGTCAACATTTCTGGCCAGTAGTAGTACCGCTGCAGCTGCTGCCGTGTTTTCTCTACCCCGAAATGTCCCGAGGTAACTCCGTCGTGTGCTTCCTGTAACAGTAGTTCCCGCAGTAGCGTGTATCCCGGTACCCAGATGCGGTCGGTTCTGAATGCGTCCGTACTGTCACGTCTGCGCCGGTCAAGTAGCAGCCCCACACTTTGAATGCGTGCACGATCGCGAGCATTTCGCGGTCGTGTATCGGGTAATTTCGCTCAGGCGGATGTAGTTTGCGTGATTCGTAGGCGATGGGTTGGAGGCCGTCGCCGAAGTCCTGTAACAGTACAGCTCCGATGGCGATGTCACTTGCGTCGGTAACCACTTCGAAAGGGCGGTGGGGATCAGCGATGCGTAGAACGGGTGGTGAACAGAGAACGTTTTTCAGGGCAGAGAAGGCAGCATGCTCTTTCTCCCCCCACGTAAAAGCGACCCCCTTACGCAGTAAATCAGTGAGTGGGGCTGTTAAACGTGCCATGTCGGGCACGAACCGTCGAACGTAATTAACAAAACCTAAAAAACTCTGCAGTTCCGTGATGTTCGTCGGGGGGCGCCACGCTTTTACTGTATCCAGCTTCTTTGGGTCAATCTCAACCCCAGCTTCCGAAATGACGTGACCCAAAAACTCTAGCCTGTCCCGAAAAAACTCGCACTTGGAGCCCTTGGTGAGTAGCCGATGTTCCTCCAAAACCTTAAAAACTGCTTCAAGATCCACTAAGTGCTGCTGCTTATCCCGGCTGTAAACTAGAATATCGTCCAGGTAAACTATCACGCATTTATCAAAAAGTGGTCTAAACGCCTCGTTCATGGTCATCTGAAATGTCGCAGGCGCGTTCGTCAGCCCGAATGGCATTACTGTATACTCGAATGACCCGTACCTAGTCCTAAATGCTGTTTTGGCGCAGTCCGATGGTTCGACCCGAATCTGATGGTAACCTCCCCGTAAATCTATTTTCGAAAAGACTCGTGCTGTTCGCAGTTGGTCGATCAGTTCGTCGGCGCGGGGGATGGGGTATCGCGATTTGACTGTTACCCTGTTAAGCGCTCGGTAGTCGATGCACATGCGGAACCCTCCGTCTTTTTTCGGTGTGAACAGTATCGGTGCGGCGAACGGTGACGAGCTCGGTCGGATAAACTGCTTCTCTAACAGGTAATCTAACTGCTTCCTTAACTCGTCGAGCTCGGGCTGTGTCAGTCGAAATTGCCGCTGTACAGTTGGCTGTGCCCCCGGTTCTAACTCGATCCTATGGTCGTGCGCCCGCTGAGGTGGCAGTCCCTGTGGTAAATCATCCGGAAATATCCCCGGGAACCGTTTCAGTAGTGCCTGTAGTTCGGTCGGTACAGCTGCCAGCAGTTTCTCCAAATCACTCGGCTGCTCATCTTTTTCTACGAGTGCGATATCCACTGCGTACACGTCAGCTCCAGCAGCGACAGCCCGTTTCATCGTGATGGCGTTGACCTGGACCGTCAAAGATTCGGGTGGCTGCCAGCGAGGTAGAACGACCCAGTTACCACTACTTCGCACTGTGCAACTCCCCGTCGTCCAGTCGATCCGTGGGTTGTACCGTCGCAGCCAATCACGTCCCAATAAAATGCCGTGCCCATCCAGTGTCGTCACGAGCATTTCCTGTGTAAACCCGAAGTTCCCCCCACAGCGGACTTTTACGCGCTCCACCTTTTCCCGTATGGCCAGGGGCGTGCCGTCGACTAAGCGTGCATCTATCTCAGGTAAACATCGGTTAAGCGTTAACTGTAATTTTCGTGCGGTTGCGGTATTAACTAAGCTGTGGCTTGCTCCTCCGTCAATGAAGATCTTCACTGCTGCTCCCTGTATTTTCCCGTGGATCAGTACCGGGCAATCCGTCGCTGTACCCTCCTTTTTCATCCGAGCCCGATCGATGGCGTGAATCGGTACTGTGACTCGGTGAGGGTCGGTGTGGTTGGGCGAGCAGGCAGTCTCGTCAGTAGTTGGCCCAACTTCTACTGACTGCTGGCGTTTCCCTGCCTCTGAGACTCCCTCCCCTGCTCTGCTCCTCGGCGCCTCAGCTCCTCTGGGCATTCGCTCTTGCGATGGCCCGGCCTG